CGTGCCCAAGATCCTGAGAGGAGAATGGAAGAGAAGGGATTGTGGTGTGGCAATCCCCCCGGGGGTAATTTCTCGCTTTCTACACCTACCTTCACATATAAAGAAACATTTAGAAAAAAATACATTTTAAATATTGTAAAGGAGTCATTTATTCCTCTAGCAAGGAATCTGTGGTTACTTTGGAACTGCCAAGAAAGTAGAAGCCAGAGTCTCTCCTCTGTGCCTCTTAGGGAACTTACGCGTCCAAGAGTATGAATCCCTGTCCTCAGAGGGCTCTGTTTTTTTTGTCGTTTGCTTTGTTTTTCAATTTGCACACGGTGCTTGAGAAAGCACCCCCTAGGGAGAATGGTCATGTCCCAATCCCTTTTCCTCCATTCTCTTAGGATTTTGAGCACGCACACACGCCCAGTGTGTTCCTCAAGCCTCTAGGTCCAGGACTCAAACTGCACAGTCGGCCTTGTGGGACTCACCATTCCACCAGCTAGTCCTGTCTCACAAAGTTCTTTTTATTCCTGTTTTTTTTCTCAAGTTTTTGCCACAGGGTGCATGTGCTTGCCAGAGAGAGATAGAAAAAAGTGAGAAATCACCTCACAAGAGAAATGGCCATGCCATAATCCCTTCTCCTCCATTCTCCTCTAGAGATTTTGGACACACATGTATATGCTTCATGTGTGGCCTTCAAACCACAAGGTCCAGGGCTCAAACCACAGTCAGCCATGTGGGAATACAGCACCTTAACCACCATGCCATCTGCTAGCCCTCAGAAAGTTCTTTAACAGGGTCAGGCCCGGGTTCCTATACACACAGTGTACTGACTGCCCTCCACGTTTAGGGTGGGTCACAAGGGAAAGCATCTGCCGGAGGCAGGATCCACTGAAGATCTTCAAAAGACCCATGAGGGAACATCAGGTGGCATGATGGTTGAGGTGCTGGACTCCCATATGGCTGACCATAGTTCAAGACCCAGTCCTGGTGGCTTGCTTTCTGTCTCATTCTGTCTCTTTCTAATAAGCACAGATGCCCTATAGCACATTGTTAAAAATAATAAACAAAAATAAATAATTCCTTAAAAAAAAAAGATTTCTAGGTACTATTCACTTTTATTTTTAGCATTTCATTCTTGTATATTTCTTTAAGTATTATTTATTTTAATTTTACTTATTTATTTTTAAAAATTTGACTAGAGGGAGAGAGAAAGGGAAAGTGAGAAAGCAAGCTGCCAGGTCCAGGACTTGAACCGCAGTCAGTTGTGTGGGAGTCCAGCCTTAACCACCATGCCACCTGCTGGCCCCTCATTTTTGCATATTTAAATTTTCCTATAACTACGCATTAGCTTAAAAAGAAAAAAGGTATAAGGAAACTATTTCTGATGTTTGGGTACAGTGCTAGTGCAAACCATAAAACTAAATATAAATAAATATAAATACAATGATACATGATTTGCCAGGGGTCACACTACCTTGGTGACATTTATGTAGTCATTCAAAAAATAGCTAAGCCTACTGTGGTTAAACAGCAAATACAGTGGATTACAAATTCAAGGCTGACACCACTGAAAGAATGTAAATTGGTATAACCACTTAGGAAAATAGGCATCAACTAGTAAAGCCAAAGATACACACACCGGACCCAGGGCTGTGCACAGCTGCCCTAGGCCACAAACACCCCAGCTCTTCATCAACAGCAAACTGATAAATACCTTGAGGTATGATCACACAAAAATTAACCACCACAATCACATGCAACAACATGGGTCAATCTTCAAAAATAGCAAGCTGCAGGAATTTAAACAAACAGACTATGTGAGAGAGAGAGAGACCAAAAGAGAGGAGGACTCAAAGGAATACCTACTTTGATTCCATTTGCACAGACGTGAAAAATAGGCAAAATGAAGAAACTATGTTTTTTAGGTATTTATATTTAGTGGATAAAACTACAGAAAAAAGAAGTGATTCCATTAAAGTCACAGGGTAGTTACTGGCTAGGTTACCTCTTGGGGTGAGGGAGAAATCATGCTTGGGAGAAAGAAGGGGGGACATGAATCCAGAACCTACATGGTCATTACACTTATGTTTGCTTTAAAATAATTCATCAGGTTACCCACCTGTTTTATATCCTTTCCTGCATGTTATCATTCACAATTTAAAAGGTTAAACAAATACAATGTTGATTTCCAGGAATTCAGAGCCATTACAACAATTCTGGCCAATGCGGGGAAGGAACCCTTCCTCTCAGAATGTCACTATTAGCCCGGCAGCCTCAGAAGGTCAGGGGCCTTCCTTTCCTTCTACCCAGCAGCATCAGCACAGTCTCTCTGGCCTGGTAAAAGTCTTCGATAAATGCATAAATCCATAATCCCCCAACACGAATTTTGCTTTAACTCACCCATGCCCTGAAAAAACTGATTTGAACTGTGCCCACCTTCACACTTCCCCTTCCCTTCTGTGTCTTCACCCCAATAAAGCTTTCATAAATAATAAAGCTACTGCCTTTGATGTTTGCTGGGTAAGTTTATACCCAGGCCGTCGCTTTAGCAACTCTCCCTCCTTCTACTCTTCTGTATGCCTCCTTAAGAGCAAAGAGAGGCGAACACTCTGGTATCCTAGGTTTGCATGCATGTGTGCGTGTGTGTGTGCGTGTGTGTGTGTGTTTTAATGGAAAAGTTTTCATTTGCACCTAAGAGTACAGCTTACGATCGTTACAATTTAACTACATAGAAGTTGTTCAACAAGAGGTCATTTCCCTGATGCCCTGAGAAATGCCATGTTTTCAAGACAAATAAAACTTTACAACCAACTGTACTTAAAATATATGAAACCTGTTGTGGAGAGAAGTCAAATCTGTGAACAGGATCAGTCAATTTTAAAATTTCAGTTAAAAAAAAAACTGTACAAATAGATCTATAGGAAAAAGCTTAGAAAACTCTAAATTAGATACACAAACCAAAAAAATAGGCATCTCAGTTAATTTTGAGAAAGATGCTCAAAAGGAGGCTTTAACCTTATTAGTAAAGTTTTAAATTGTTTACACAGAATAGTTCATGTATTACTTGTGATAGCTGAGAAAACAATTTAAAATCCATCCTGCCATAAAATTAAATCCCTATTGCAAAGGAACCAAGCAAATAGACCCCTCCCTAAAGGCTATCTTTTAAAAATGCTTAAGTTTTTATGCTGAAGTTTTCAGATTCCCTGGACTTTTTCACCTGGTCAGTTTTTTTTCTGATATAAACACATTCATGTGGTCCTGTTAAAGAATATCACAGAATTCATACCTGCAGCCAGCCAATACGAAAGGTTTCAGACGGGAACTCAGCACAGACACGTTCAACACCGACGTTAAAAAGACTTGGAATGAAGGAAACTGTCTCCCGTTTTATGGGGGAAAGCCAAAAATACCAAGCAACTACCTCTCCTCCCCCAAGCGTCAGAAGATGAGTCAGAGCCGAGGCAGGAATAGGGCCCATGTGTCAAGCCGCCTGTGCACGCTCCTTCCTGCCTCCTCCCAGCAATCCTCTTCCCTCACCCGGGTCCCCCTCTCTGGTCCAGACAGTGATGGGAATTCTCTCTCCAGCTAAAAAGAAATGATCGTTCATTCCCGGGGGAAGCCTCATTTCCTGTTTCTCAAGGAAACTGGCACCGGGGGCTTTTGCCTCATTCCCTATGTTTCTCAAGGAAACTGGCACCGGGGGCTTTAAGGAGTCGGCAAGTAATAACCAAATTGCAACTCCAGGGAGTGGGGTTTCCAGACACACACAACTTTGCAAAGAATACAGCACCTTTGCTCTCATTTCAAAGAGGAGGAAATAAGCACGGAGAAGCCCTGACTTGTCCGACGTCACTTTAACTCCGTAGCAGAGCGGAGTCCCAGGCACAGAACTGCGGAGCACTGGCCCTGGCCTGTCTTTTCACCGATCTATTCAATCTCAGGAAGAACGTCCCAAGATCCCACTGTACTTCTGAGCCGCCTTGTGGACTATGAATTCCAAAACACTCTGGGTTAAATCTCTTGGTCCACATACCCTTACAGTAAAGAATCAGAAGTTTGTATTTTGTCCCGTTTCTACATCTGTAAAACGGGATGGTAATGCTCTCCACCTACCTTTCTTATAAAATTGTAATAAACGGCTCACGAGTTAACACATGCTAAATAAAAAACTGCTGAATGGAAAGTACAAGGTGTTTTTTAAAAAGCCCTACACAGTAAAACTGCATCTGTAAGTCACTCCTCCTCCTCTTGCCTCTGGGATGCCCAGTTACCATAACACTGGATGGAACCATTGGCAACATCCACCTAAATATAGTTATACAATCCCGCAGGAGCACGGCACGCGACTGCTCTCCCACACACGAACTCAACTCCGCTCCGGAGCAGGGGTACTTCGGGAAAAAGGCGTCTGTTCGCACTGTGCGCATAGACCACTGCGCTGCAAGACTCAAGTTGGAGACCTGGCACCGCTCAAAGTCAAGTTGTTTCCGTCAATGCACCAGAAACCTTTGGACGATGCAAAAAGCCGCCGCCGGCGCCCACGGCTCAGGGCGGGAGGATGCGGCCGCAGGGGTGAGGAGGTCCAGAGGCCACGGCGCGACCCGAGAGCTGAGGGGTCAGGCGGGGGAGGGGAGAGGAGCAGACGCGGATGCTGGCGACCGAGCGCAGAGGGTCGGGGTCCGGTGGCGGCGGGAGCAGCACACGGTGCGCGACCACGGCCGGCAGGCGGAGGGGGCCTGCGGAGGA